TCTAAGGAAGCGTGTTGATGTTAAATTAGTCAGATCTAATGAGGAAGAAAGACTCAGGAAACTTATAGCCAGTCCGGCTTTTAACAGAAGCAAGATATTCGATAACGACTTAGCCGCGTTGCATATGCAGAAGAGTAATATAAAATTCAACAGACCGGTGTACGTCGGTATGAGTATTCTCGACTTGTCAAAACACTTAATGTATGACTTTTGTTACAACGAACTTAAGAAGCAATACGGCGATAGATGCGAGGTGTTATATACCGACACAGATTCTTTGTTGATGGAAATACAAACCGAGGATGTGTATAAAGATATGGCAGAAAAAATAGATATGTATGACACAAGCGATTACCCAAAAGATAATCCACTGCACAGCGTAGTAAATAAAAAGGTGTTAGGTAAGATGAAGGATGAATGTGCTGGGACCCCTATAGCGGAGTATATGGGATTAAGACCTAAGATGTATTCTATAAAGAAGTCCGATAATGGAGAGATAAGAAAAGCTAAGGGCGTTAAGAAGTATGTTGTAAAAAAGCATATCAAACATGAACAGTATAAAGAATCATTATTCAACGGTAGAACGTTCAAACACGAGATGAACTCTTTAAGAAGTTACGATCATAGGATATATGGATTAAGAATGAACAAGACATCATTATCCCCCTTAGATACAAAGAGATGGATTGATAATGATGGTGTAAATACCTATGCTTATGGTTATGGTGGTAATACCGTACCGTCGGGAACTATGAACAACTCTTCTCGTACAAATGCCCTACCCGGTCCATCTTGAAGATAATAAAGAATAGGCTCTCCTTCTTTCGTAACCAATCGACTAATGTTATACGTCTTAAGGGACCATATGGGATCGGTTGCGCGACGTAGGCCTCCTTCGAGTTCACCGGCCTGGTATAAATATCTTACCCTTACTCTATCCGGAAGTTTTCGTTCTTTGCCTCTCCTCGGTGCTGAAGATTCGGAAGTCACGGATTTCATTTTAATAGCATGGGATGGTTTCTTCCCTATTAATCTCGTTACTTCATTATTCAGCGCTGATACAACGGCTGATAATCGTGTCACCCATTCGGTTGATCTCAATCGCTCCGATTTCATTTCGATCCCATACTGATAGCCAAACAAACGTTCCGCTAATGTCCTGTTAAATCTTTCGACGATAGCTTGACTGCGGTGGGCCTCTCTTTCACCAAGGACGATTTCGACATCGTGCTTTGTTAACAGTTTAGTTACCGATCCCATAAACTCGCGACCGGGATCTACTTGAAATAGCTTAGGCCATTTTAGCGGTCCACGTTTGTATATGCGACTCAGTGCATTAGCTACCTCTGTTGATTCTTTCGATGTTAATGGCTCAGCCTCTTTGTATCGACTAGCCACATCCACTACCGTTAAAGCGTATTTATACGTTTTGCGTTTTACCTTATCGTGGGGAAGAAACAAGAGGTCAGCCTGATGAACTTCATTCGTTGTAAAAATATCAAACTTCTTCCTCGGTATATAACGCGGTGCCGGTAAATATATCTGCCACATCGCTTGTTTCTTTAACCAATCCTTGGCCACATCTTTAGATACCTTAGCCGCGGTGGCTAATTTTTTTATTGCTCCTACACCTTTCCAATATCCTCGTGGGCTATAGTAAATTTTATCCATTATTAATTAATATTGATATTTCGTTTAATACAACTCATGACTATCGTTAAATCACATAATCATTTTGACATAAAAAATCCCCCCTGTAGTAGCAGTATAGGTATATGAATCTGGCTCCAGTGGAAGTGGTCCAGAACCCCCATTACCTATACTACTGCGTTGTTCAAACCATTGTTCTAAACGTAACGACATCTGATGCTCTCACTCACCTCATTGGGATATAGATCTACATATGTTTTGGTTAAGTTAAGTTATTATGCCAGAGGAGCATAATATGTCATTCTTCAACGCTCACTTTGAAACACGTTATATTTGGGATAACACTTTCTTAGTAAAGTACAGATTCTAGTACTTTTTGAGTTGAGTCCCCTCGGCACCTAATCGCCAGCACACAAAGTCAGCGATCTTACCCACCCAGCCACCGAGGCTTCCACAAAATGAAAGTCCGACAACTGGTAGTCTAGATCACGTACTTTGAGTACCCCTCTCACGGACGGGACTCAACTCAAAAGAGTACTAGAATCTGTACTTTACTAAGAAAGTGTTATCCCAAATATAACACGTGTTACATTTGACCACTTTCTAAATGGCATTGTGTATTCATAGCTCACTTTGAAGTTGAATAAAACTCAAAATACATAACGTACACACATACACTTTGAATTCTGTTGGGAATTCTAATTTTTCTGATATCACATGCAGCCGCTTTGGGCTAAATCAAATTACTGAAAACTATAAAATCAAAATTATGCTACTATATGTTACTAATTCACCATTCACAGCGTTATTTCGAGTACGTTTTTAAGTCTAAATGTCGGATATATACTCGGAAAATTTATAAATTATAACAACAAAAACAACACATTAGTGATTCCGTATATTAATGATTTATGAAATCATCAAAGATAATTCTGAAACGTCGCCGATAACCCTAGAATCGTTTAAAATGATTAAGAAAACACGAACTTTCCGCCATATTGGATAGCGTTTACAAAAGCACGTTTCACGTAGGCCGGTTATGAGACGTCTGTAACATCACATATATTTCACACACAGCTGCGATACACACATCCCTGACTTACGCATACATTTCGGCATCAACCTACAAGTTGTTTTTGTCACAAATTAACATGATTAAGTCGCCTCTTGTGACTGGCAGGGGATGCTCTGGGGTGCTGTTGTAGATATATGCTTACCTGGAATCCCCAGGGGGGGCCAAAATATGAAAGTCAAATCCTCATTCCTGTTACATTATCATCTCTTATGTGGCTGCAGAGGGGTGTGTGAATCTTTTGAAGCTTGCTAAAAATTACATTTGCAATATGTTTTTCTACAATCTCATTTAAAAAAGATCTTTATGCATGCTACCGCTACACAAAGATCTGAGGACATAACAGTACACAGGTCATGTTATGACCTTTCATGAACTTTGTCCACCCAGTGAAATGACTGACAACATGAACAAGGAGTTGACTTTAGCCAATCAGAAAGCAGCTTTCTCGATCTTTACAGCACAAATTTCCAACTGGCAACTTCAATTCTAGACTATGCTTTTAAAAATGTTTTGACAAAGTCATCGATTCAAAAACTGAACAAACGAGAATTCCCGAATGTCAAATAGATGGCTGAGAGTGTATGGTAGCACTTCCAACAGGGTACATGAAGCCCATTCCCTTTCAAATGTTTATCCCATTGAAATGAAAGATGGACGAGTGAGTGAGTGAGTGAGTATGGTTTTACGCCGCTTTTAGCAATATTCCAGCAATATCACGGCGGGGGACACCAGAAGAAAGATGTAACTTTCCAGATCTGGTAAGAGACGCTTTGATTGGTCGGGTGAAAGGGGATCCTGACATTGACCATAATGGGGTGTCCTCCAATCTTTGTTTAGCAGAAGAAAGAACTCAAGTCTGATTTTAATGAGATTAAGTTTTCTATAGGTGATCGGGTGTACTAAGTGTAAATATACTACAACACTTACTCATTTGGTGATATGTTTTCAAATATTTAAATATAATACCAAGTCTCCCAAATGCAATTATTGGCATTCATCGACATTGTGATCACAAATCCCCTGTTTGGCCAACAAGCTGTACAATGTTTGACATCTGATGACTTTCATAAATTTCTGTAAGTTGTATTCATTTTATAAGTTATGCAGATCCAATGGGCAAAAACAATTCCCTATCACACTTCACCCTTTACATTGAAAAAGAGGCAATTCCTTTTTTTTGAAGAAGTCAAATCCTCGGAATCATGCAAAATGTAACTCTATGGTGAATATTTGTACAAAATGTAACTCTATGGTGAATATTTGTACAAAATGTTACCCTGTGGTGAATATTTGTAGAAAATGTAACTCTGTGGTGAATATTTGTAGAAAATGTAACCCTGTGGTGAATATTTGTACAAAATGTAACTCTGTGGTGAATATTTGTACAAAATGTAACCAAGTGGTGAATATTTGTACAAAATGTAACTCTGTGGTGAATATTTGTACAAAATGTAACCCAGTGGTGAATATTTGTACAACATGTAACTCTGTGGTACCGGCTAAGATGGAATAATTATTATGGAGATATAAGACATAAGATGGTGATTAGTGACAGGATGCCTCCGGATGCTTGCTAATTCAGCATAATGGCTCATGGGTGCCTATACCTGACTTACTTCCAGCTCTCCTATAAGATGCTCGGTATGATCCTATGTACCCGCTTTCCTTTATTTCTCAAATGGCGACAGAGCAGTATCGCAATGTCGCCATATCATAATATCGCCGTATCGCCATTTTGCCGTATCGCGCTACCTTATCGCAGTGTCGTTTGGTGTAATCGCCATGTCGTGTCGTGTAATCGCCATGTTGTGTCGTTCTATCGCAATGTCGTTTCGTGTAATCGCCATGTTGTGTCGTGCTGTCGCAATGTCGTTGCGTGTTATCGCTCTTTCGTTTTTGGCAGTGACGCAACGGCGTGGCCAGAATAAAAGAAGTTGCTGTCATTAAAGTGTCGTGTATTTAATAAAGAATTTGATCATCAATATACCTTACCCACTATTCCAACTTATAAATGCCTCTCAAAGAATGTTTCATGTATTTTGAAGGGGTCATGATGAAATAAAATGGGGAGGGATGTGTAAGATATGATACAGTCAGTCCAAAGACCAAACGACTGGTCCCCAATGCGATGGTGTATATTTTACGCACGTTTGCTTCTCGTGTGGAACAGACATAACACTGAGTTACTCCCCTTAAGCCACTTTTCACACCGGAAACCCAAATCGTAAATAGAGGGTTCGTCTTAGAAACCACCTGCTTTGACAACAGCTATATATTCATTCGCGGCTGTTATCGTACGGATAAAGATATTCTTCTAAATAGGATTTCCCGGATGTCATTATTATTAACATTTTGTGTAAACAGTTTGCGGGTAATTCATTGTTCACAGTACAATAAAACACTGTCTAAACTAGGAACTATATTTTAGGAATCCGACAGCCGCGGAAGTAGTTGTTGTATGTAGCTGCGTGAGCAGGCTCTGAACGACGAGGAGTGTGGAGAGAGTGACGGGTGTTGAAACTTGTGATCGGGCCGATTACCGGGCTTGTTTTAACAATATTTTTTTCGGGACATGTGGTGATATACCAAGACAACTATGACGTCCAACGAACAAGTCATAAAAACTGTCGCCAAGAAGCTGTAAGTATAAACGGTGACGTGAAATATAGCCTATTCTTGATTGGAAAGATGTTGACGATGCACCACAGAAATATGCGGACCTGACTTACCAAGTTTCAAAACTCCACTTGCATGTCTTTAGTGAGAGATTACAATGTTGTATACATGTTGTTCTTGTTATACAATGTAGTCAGTAGAACAACAATTCGTGGATGATATAACCAGTTATCAGATATTAGAGAGGTACATATAAGATGTGATCACGCATATTGACTAGGATACATTTTGTGCACATTGTGTCAATAGTTTAATTAATGAATTCTTCAGCTTCATGTGGTCTGTTCGTCTCCACTAATCTGTAGTGTTATGTGAATATACTAATATTATACTAATATTCACCACAGGGTTACATTTTGTACAAATATTCACCACAGACTTACATTTTATACAAATATTCACCACAGGGTTACATTTTGTACAAATATTCACCACAGAGTTACTTTTTGTACAAATATTCACCACAGAGTTACATTTTGTACAAATATTCACCACAGACTTACATTTTATACAAATATTCACCACAGACTTACATTTTGTACAAATATTCACCACATGGTTACATTTTGTACAAATATTCACCACAGACTTACATTTTGTACAAATATTCACCACAGAGTTACATTTTGTACAAATATTCACCACAGACTTACATTTTGTACAAATATTCAACACAGAGTTACATTTTGTACAAATATTCAACACAGTTACATTTTGTACAAATATTCACCACAGACTTACATTTTATACAAATATTCACCACAGAGTTACATTTTGTACAAATATTCACCACAGAGTTACATTTTGTACAAATATTCACCACAGACTTACATTTTGTACAAATATTCACCACAGACTTACATTTTGTACAAATATTCAACACAGAGTTACATTTTGTACCAAAATTCACCACAGGGTTACATTTTGTACAAATATTCACCACAGAGTTACATTTTGTACAAATATTCACCACAGAGTTACATTTTGTACAAAAATTCACCACAGGGTTACATTTTGTACAAATATTCACCACAGGGTTACATTTTGTACTAAAATTCACCACAGGGTTACATTTTGAATAAATATTCACCACAGAGTTACATTTTGTACAAATATTCACCACAGAGTTACATTTTGTACAAATATTCACCACAGAGTTACATTTTGTACAAAAATTCACCACAGGGTTACATTTTGTACAAATATTCACCACAGGGTTACATTTTGTACTAAAATTCACCACAGGGTTACATTTTGAATAAATATTCACCACAGAGTTACATTTTGTACAAATATTCACCATTGAGTTACATTTTGTACAAATATTCACCACAGACTTACATTTTGAATAAATATTCACCACAGGGTTACATTTTGTACAAATATTTACCATAGAGTTACATTTTGTACAAATATTCACCACAGAGTTACATTTTGTACAAATATTTACCATAGACTTACATTTTGTACAAATATTCACCACAGAGTTACATTTTGTACAAATATTCACCACAGACTTACATTTTGAATAAATATTCACCACAGAGTTACATTTTGTACAAATATTCACCACAGGGTTACATTTTGAATAAATATTCACCACAGGGTTACATTTTGTACAAATATTCACCACAGACTTACATTTTGAATAAATATTCACCACAGACTTACATTTTGTACAAATATTCACCATAGAGTTACATTTTGTACAAATATTCACCACAGAGTTACATTTTCTACAAATATTCACCATAGAGTTACATTTTGCATGATTCCGAGGATTTGACTTCTTCAAAAAAAGGAATTGCCTCTTTTTCAATGTAAAGGGTGAAGTGTGATAGGGAATTGTTTTTGCCCATTGGATCTGCATAACTTAGAAAATGAATACAACTTACAGAAATCTTTATGAAAGTAATCAGATGTCAAACATTGTACAGCTTGTTGGCCAAACAGGGGATTTGTGATCACAATGTCGATGAATGCCAATAATTGCACTTGGTATTATATTTGAATATTTGAAAACATATAACCAAATGAGTAAGTGTTGTAGTAAATTTACACTAAGTACACCCGATCACCTATAGAAAACTCAATCTCATTAAAATCAGACTTGAGTTCTTTCTTCTGCTAAACAAAGATTGGAGGACACCCCATTATGGTCAATGTCACGATCACCTTTCACTCGACCAATCAAAGCATCTGTTACCAGATCTGGAAAGTTACAGGCGGAATGTGTGTTCTAATCATGCATCCTCAAAGGGGTAACGCAGAGTATTTCGAATCGGCTGTAAGACTGATTCCATGAAATAGTCGTCCTTCTTTCATTTCAGCTGACACGCGGCAATATAACTGGAATACTGTTAAAAGCGGTGTTAAACCCAACTCATTCACTCGCTGACACTAATAATGCATTGGAGCCAAATTTAGGATTCTCCTTCAGCCTTCTATTGTTGTTGCTCTATTGGACGTGACACAATGTTTTATATTTTGTGCCAATGTTTTATTGAAACTGAAGACTACTATTGTGGAATTGTAGAAAATTGCTGGGCCTTAAAATCTGTGTTTGAAATTCTGTTAATCTGAACAAAGTTATATTCATATTTGGCACTCAGCATTTCTATTGCGTTAAATAGTTACATTGTCTCTCTCAAGTTTTATTTTCCTCCAACCAAGATATTCATGAGTAAAAGTAATTTAAGAACCAAAAAAATATTTTAAAATTAACAGAATATCTGACCCATCAATACTGTTTTTTCTTACTTTCCTAGTTTTGATTCACAAACATGGCAGATGGAGGCCGTGAACCTATAGGTATTCGAGATAGTATTGTACCCAGGTGGATTGGGAAAACTATTGATAGTGAAATAACTATTTCACAATAATAGACATGATATGCATATCACGTTAGGTAGTGGTTACTTATGATTCAAAACAATTGTTTGATTAGAATATGTTCCTAATATTTTAAAACATAAAAATTAACATATTGTTTTACTCTCTACCAAATGTCTAGTTGCCATGGTTACAATGATGGGAATACTTTATCTTAAACACATTGGAATGTTTAATTTTATTTATGCACTTTTTACCTGCATTTATCATAGTCATGTTTTTGCAAATATGTTATTTAAAGAAACCCATACTGTTTTTCAGAAAGTACTATTTTGATGTCAAGCGATTGGAAGATGGCTTTGACCTCTCAGGATCACAGAATCCAGTGTTGGATCATCCACCGATGAAAGCTGTAAGTACCATGTTTCTCTGTGTTTCCTTGGAATGTATGATTCCCCAGCAGTTTCGCAGGACACTGGCATGGTTTCCATTCTGTCTCCCACACTCCCACTTGCATCATGACAACTTGGTGCTCTCTCTTGTGGGTTTGATGGAATGGAAGAAAACAAGACCTTTTCCATGTTATAATATTTGTCAGGAGCAGTTTTGTCAAAGAGATAAACATGTCTAGTTACAGAGTAACCTTTATTGTCCATTCATTTGACACACCTCCGCTCTCCTCTTCAATACACTCCATCACAAACCTCTTTTCTCCTCCTCAGCACTCTCCATCCCACCTCAGCTCTCCTCATCAACACTCTCCATCAAGCCTCCGCTCTCCTCCTCAGCACTCTCCATCCCACATCTCCGCTCTCCACTTCAACACTCTCCATCCCACATCTCCACTCTCCATCCTACCTCCGCTCTCCACTTCAACACTCTCCATCCCACATCTCCGCTTCACTTCAGCATTCTCCATCCTACCTCCGCTGTCTTCTTCAACACTCTCCATCCCACATCTCCGCTCTCCATCCCACATCTCCGCTTCACTTCAGCACTCTCCATCCTACCTCCGCTGTCTTCTTCAACACTCTCCATCCCACATCTCTGCTCTCCACTTCAACTCTCCCCAACCCACCCCCGCTGTCCTCTTCAACACTCTCCATCGCACACCTCCGCTCTCCTCTTCAACACTCTCCATCCCACATCTCCGCTCTCCTCTTCAACACTCTCCATCGCACACCTCTGCTCTCCTCTTCAATACACTCCATCACACACCTCTTTTCTCCTTATCAACACTCTCCATCGCACACCTCCGCTCTCCTCTTCAACACTCTCCATCCTACCTCCGCTGTCTCCTTCAACACTCTCCATCAAGCCTCTGCTCTCCTCATCAATGCTCTCCATCGCACACTTACGCTCTCATCAACGCTGTCCATCGCACACCTTCGCTCTCCTCTTCAACGCTCTCCATCGCACACCTCAGCTCTCCTCTTCAACACTCTCCATCAGACCTCCATTCTCCTCATCAATGCTCTCCATCGCTCACCTCTGCTTTTTGATGACAACAAAACTAAATACACAGTCTGAGGTAAATTTTGCAGTGTGCATATGTCAAAGGACAACGGATCCACTGATCACTGGAGTATGTTATTTAAAACATATACTATCATTATATTTGGTAAAATGTTTCTGCAGTCCGAATGAATCAAACGTGTTGTTAAACAATGTCAAAGGGGATTTGAAAGCTGGAAAATCTTTTTCGGATAACTAATACATGTACTCAAGACATTATCCGGAAAATGAGTATTTGCAGCCTGATTCAAACTCAAACTAAAAAACTCCTTATCATCAAGTTCCTGCCACGCTACCTCTTAATGAATGTACCATTCAGATTTAGTAAAGGGTCAGTACTCTGAATGAATGATGGCACATTTGCAATCAATCTTGTGCCCTAGATTTGAATGGTTTCCAATTATTCATTAATTATGATTGATGATCGAACCACCAGTTCAGTTCTCACACAGACTGTTTGATTGTTTGATGGAGAATTACATGCCTTTTGCGACCTTAATTATCTACAGGAAATAGCTGCTGTAATGCGTTTTTGGGAGGCAGGGTGAAATGGGGTTTAACGTCATGTCCATGATCATTGCACTTATAGTGATGTGCATGTACGTGTGTGATGTGGCTGCTTGTACTAGTCTGGACTGATGCCGATTTAAAGTGCTAGCTCACTGAGATACCATGTCGCAGTTTAACATGAATAACCTACTCAGACACAGTACACTGACACAGAGCCAACCAGTCCTTGTTTTTGCCATTTATTGCCAAGTCCCAGGTAGGGTAACAACAAGTACCACCATTTAATGTCTTTTGGTGTGACGCAGCCAGGGATCGAACCCCAGTCCGTCAATGAAAGCCATACTTCTAAGCGTAATCTCAGAAGCAGGCATTACTGGTATAATCAAGGAGGAATCAGCAATCGTATAATGTTAAGTTTCAGTGCTGGTGTGTGTGTTCATTGGCAATAAGGCTGCATTTAGCATCTTTGCTAATACTGCAATTCCTGAGAATCGGTTGACATCTCCCCTTGTGCTATGCATGGTGTGTGATGTAGTGAGTCAGATTCAGTGATGAGAGGACACAGACATGATTCCTCATGTTCTTTGTCCTTTGTTATGTTTCCCGACATTTAATATTATTCCACCAAGGTAAATCAATAAAATCTGTTTGAACATATTTTATTTATTGCTGCTATCAAAGAATTCTAACATATTTTTTAATGCTATGAAATTGATTATTACCCCTTGAATGGTAAATTTGTCTCCCATGAACAGTAGAAATGGATTCCCACACCATCAATACTGAATACTGAGTATTTGTGCTAGTTGCATACAAGTACTGCGTCTCGTTAAATGGAGGTCCCAGCCCTCATTATAAGCCGTATTATTCATACCCAATCCTTGTCAGTAATCACACAGGTGATGATTCTGTCATGGATCCTATAAAGGAATTGATCTCTGCTCCGATGATCTGGTCACTCCTTGGACTGGATCAGTGCTCTGCATTGTGTAATGTACCTGGCCAATTGTGCTGTTTTCCAAAGCCAGGCAAATGTCCGTGCAGTTTTAAGTTTTGAGAAGCACTATCTATGAACACTTTCAAGTGGTTCCGATACTGGTTTTAGTTAGTCACAACTACTGAAATGAGTTGTGAAGTACCAGCTATAAATCAAGGCAGCTGTCATGGGGAGGACAATTAGTGGTCCCGAGAGGCTGTCGGTAATATTAGGGCAAACTGTGACCATGTAGGGCATTGATTTCTACCCGAGAAGACCATTAATTTTTTATTTGGGATTACAGGACAAAGAAACGGTGGTCATTAGTGGTTGGCCACATGACATAGTTATCCTGTTATGGTGTCTCTACTTAACCAGTTTGAATATTCAGCCTGTCTGTTGTATGGAATTAGTTGTATGGGATTAGTTTTTGGCAGAGCTTCCACTACAACTGGACAGGAACAGTTGTTTTGTGTGTGTTTTGGTGTCATGTTCAATATCATTTTTATTTTGATTTGTTCCAACAAAATCAATATTGGTACTATTGTCTCACTGGATTTTCTGGTTCATCAATCACTTGATTGTCTGGTTTGTTTACAGGCTTACATATGGCAAGAGTAGAGCTGTGCTGCGTCAACCATAAATACTTACTTTTTTATGCAAATTACCCTTTTTGCGAACACCTGGTGTCAACATTTATTTTCAGTGGTCCATTCATGTAATTGTCACAGCTATTTTGCAACAAGTGTTTTGGCAGAAAAACGAAGCACTGACAATTTATGTTCACTGGAGCATGACACTGTTGTTGTCTTCACAGACTCAGGCTGCTGTAAACAACACCCGCTTACAACAGTCCATTAATAGTTCGCATTGGGATTCTGGTGAACAAATAGTTTCCTGTCTGATGTGTGAGCTGACTAGATGGGATTCTAGGGACCAAGTAGTTTCCTGTCTGATGTGTGAGCTGACTAGATGGGATTCTAGGGACCAAGTAGTTTCCTGTCTGATGTGTGAGCTGACTAGATGGGATTCTGGGGAACAAGTAGTTTCCTGTCTGATGTCTAGAAGGGAATTGGGTTGTTATGACACGTGACCGGTGTCATCCGAATAATATGAAACAAAGATGTTTATGATGTGTTTCTGTTCTTCTGAATACAAGTGTGTATTGGCATGGTGCCATGTGAGGCAGATCTTGTCGGTCTTGCAGGTTCTCCCGGTGTATGCAGTTTCCAGTCAATAGGATGAATTTTCATTCCATAGAATGAAGAAATTCTGTGTTTCAGGGTTTTTTTTCAAACTTTTCTTTATATATATTCGGGTCAGTCAATCCATAAATATTTGTTTCCAACTCTGTGTCCATCTTCCTGAGGCAAGTGAGTTAACTGTCTATAAAAGTCCAGTTTCCACCCTTGCAGAACTAGGCTGGTATTATGGAGTTACGTTTTGGCTGGAGTAACGAGTCTTCGCATAGGCCAATCACAATCGTGCAGCGAAATCGAAATCCAGTTTGTAAACTGTCGTGCAGATATGCTGTGTCCTGACTATGGTGTTGAACAACAATGCTATGTTCATGCTCCGTCATGTTTGGGATGCAGGCTCATTGATGCCTTCCGTATTTAGCAATCTCGGGATCAGGGTTATGTCATACGTTTGGTGTCATTCTGCTTCTAAAGACTTCTAATGTTGTCTAGCTATTTAGAAAGATCTTGAAGAACATGTACACACACAGTTTTGTGTTTTTATGAACAAGGACAATTTTTATCTTTCGGATGTTTTGTTGTTTATCATGTTACTGTAATGTGATTTTCTTTTTTAACCATATGACAAATAGTAACCATGGCAACATTCTTTCTTCTCTTTATTATATACTGATGCTCTCACTAAGTGTGAACTGGTCATGTATGAGCTATGCTGGCAAACAATTTTCTTCATGAAAATACCAGTTTGTTGTGAAGGAGCAGCACACGTCTTATGTTGAACATTGTTTTTATCTATCATTTGCTTTTAAATATTTAAGGCGCATAGACACCCACCTCAAGGGTTATTTTTTAAAGTGGTCCTAATATACCACATGCTTTGTATAACCGACCATGAGGCAATGGTCCAAGAGGTGATTGCATTACTCACATGACCTGTTGTCAAGACGTGTGTATTTATTTACCGAGGCGCCGTGATGAACTGTTTGTGTCCTCCACAACGCATCAGTGTCTAACAACTACAAACTGATAATCGATACATAGTAATTAAAGCTTGCAGCAAGCTTCACACGGGTTCCGTGTGTACCTGAAATTCAGACACAATCAATAAATAAATTAGCAGCAATTCTCTCTCCTTTTAGGAGTGTTTTGTTGCGATTATACCTGTTACTCATTTCACACAGATGTAAGTTTAAATATAAAAACTTGACAATT